CACTTTATCTACTCCTCTTCTCTGTAAAACGATCCCACTGGCTAGAAGGGCTTTTCCTGTTTCTTCAAACAACTTCTCCTCTTCAATTTTCCCTTCTTCCTTCAGCTCATTGTATTTCTCCACAAACCTGGGTCGCAAAGTTGCTTTTTTACACTCACAAATGATGCTCTGGCTCCCTGACTGAAGGGAGGAGGGGACAGCCTCAGGAACATTTCTGGTTCAAAGATCACCTCTGGCAAGTGGATGTGAAGTTTAACCGTGTCAGCTCGAAAGGCTTGGGGCCGTTGCCATAAACTTTGTAAAACCTCCTGCTCAGAAGAGGGAAGGGTTGAGATTTTGCAGCTAAACCAGGAGCAAACAGCCAAGAGCAGGCTCAGAACCCCGAGGGAGCAGTGAGAGCATGCACAGGGTTATTCCTCCTTCTCACAAGAACCTTCATGGGCACCTGGCAGGGTGGCACGGGGTGGCCTTTAGGGTCCCTGGCAACCCAAACCTGTCTGGGATCCTACAGAGCTTCCTTCCAGCTTTTTAATTGTGTTAATAACACAGCTGAATCACCAGCAGCCGTGGGTCAGGCCAGGTCTGGGGCTCTGTGCTGGGCAGGGCCCAGAGGAGCCCCCGGCTCCGCTGCAAACACGGGGCAGGGCAGAAAAAACACCCTGATTTACCCCAAAACCCACCCTGATTTATCCCAAACCCACCCTGATTTACCCCAAAACCCCCCTGGTTCACTCCAATTCCCCCAATTCACCCCAAAGCCCCCAGATTTACCCGAATCCCCCCCCAGTTTACCCCAAATCCCCCAGATCTACCCCAGGCTTTCCAATTTACCCCAAACCCCCCATATTTACCCCAAGCTTTCCAATTTACCCCAAATCCACCTGGATTTACCTGAATCCCCCCAGATTTACCCCAAATTCCCCAGATTTACCCCAAACCCCCCGATTTACCCCAAACCCCCCCAGGTTCACTCCAATCCCCCCAACTCACCCCAAACTCCCCGATTTACCCGAATCCCCCCAAGTTCACCCCAAATCCCTCCAGTTTACCCGAAATCCCCCCAATTTACCCCAAATCCCCCCGGTTTACCGGAACGGCCCGGTTCAGCCCAAACCCCCCCAGCAGCGGGCAGCGCAGCGGGTCCGTGCCGCTGGCCGTGCCCGGGCCGTGGCACTCACGCCCTCACGGCGTCCTCCGGGTAGAGCACGGCCCGGACGCGCTGCCCGGCGCCGTAGCGCGGCCGCGGCACGCGGTACACGGGCTCCCGCAGCGGCGGGAAGGCGGCGTACACGTCCAGCCACAGCGGCTTCTCCAGCAGCCCCACGCGCACCAGGCTCCGCGCCCTGCGGCCACAACCGGCTCAGGGCGGGGCCCACCGGGAACCGGCGCCGCCGCGGCTGAGCCCCCCCCCTCCCGCCGCCGCACCGGCTGAACACGCTGCCGATCTTGTGCGTGCGGCTCCCGGCCGTGGCGGCCATGGCGGCCCCGCCGGTGCTGCCCCGGAACCGGAACCGGAAGCGAACGGAACCGGAACGGGAACCGGAGCGCCGCCAGGGCACGCGGCCGAGTGCCGAGCTGCGGCGGGAGGAGCTGCCCAGGCAGCGCCAGCCGATGGCCGAGCAGGGTCGCGCCCCCGGCGCTGTCGCGACAGTCGGGACGGTGTGCCCGTGACAGTGACACGCACAGTGACACCGTGACAGCGACACCGTGACAGTGACACGCACAGTGACACCGTGACAGTGACACCCACAGTGACACCCACAATGACACCGTGACAGTGACACCCAGTGACACCCATAGTGACACCCACAATGACACCGTGACAGCGACACCGTGACAGTGACACGCACAGTGACACCGTGACAGTGACATGACACCCACAGTGACACCCACAGTGACACAGTGACAGTGACACCCACAATGACACCGTGACAGTGACACAGTGACAGTGACACCCACAGTGACACCCACAGTGACACCCACAATGACACCGTGACAGTGGCACCGTGACAGTGAAACCCACAGAGACACCCACAGTGACACCGTGACAGAATTCCCTGTGCAGAATTCCTTGTGCAGAATTCCCTGTGCAGAATTCCCGGTGCAGAATTCCCTCTGCAGAATTCCCTGTGCAGAATTCCCTCCTCCCCGCGCAGCCCGGCTCTCCAGCCCTCCGGCGCTTCTGAATTTAGCACAAGAACCCCTCGCCTCTCCTCCCAGGCTTCTCCTTCCCAGGGAGGGCTCCCGAGCCACACGTGAGGCTGGGAAGCTCCGGTCCTGCCGGGCAATGGAAGCTGTGAGATAGAGTAAAAATTGAACAGGGTACAAATCTATTCAGATTTAGGTCAAATGTACTACTTTCAGCATGCTAACATAAGTAAAATAGGTTGTTTAGTCTGCTAATTAGAGCACTAACACAGTTGTCCCAGCTAAGAAAGAAATAAGAATCCTCGGACCTCGAAACAGACAGGGTAGAGAGACCCAAGAGTTCTCTCTGTACTTTCTGACAAAAGCTAAATGGAAGTGTAACGGTAATCAGCAGAGCTGCCCCTTCCCTTCCCAGCCCCCTTTCTTTCTTCTTCCCCCTGTAAAGGGTAGAGAAATGCACAGTGATTTTAAAAATGTACAGTGTTAAGAGTACAACAGGACTTTATTATAGGAATTACTATTAAACATCTTTAAGAAAAAAATCACTTATGGAAATAAATTCTAAAATACCCACACTCACAAAGGTCACAGATCAGTTTGTCTTGTTCTTCCGAAACCTTTCTGTAGAGAAATGATACAAACATCATTGCGAATTGTACATTTGTATGTAAGAAATGCATTTTGGCTCCCAAGCCAGGCTTGTGGCCTTTCCACTCCATAGACCTGACTTTTGTTTTTCACAGGACACAAAACCAACCCCTCTCCACCTCCATTAGAAGGATGCTTTGTGCCTCCAAGAGATTTTGACACAGCCACAGAGCCCTGTGCCAGGCCCGGGCACCGGCACCCCCCTGTCCCTCCCCAGCATGCAGCCCTGGCACCCTTCCTGCTGTCCCTTTCCGGGTGGGAGCAGTGGGACGAGCTCAGGCAGGGAGCAGAGCCCCGGGGCTGCTCCTCCAGCACACCTTGGTGCTCACGGAGGTGACCTGGACGTGTCACTTCACGAGCAGCCCGGAGGAGGGACAGGGTCCCGCTCTTGGCCCCGCTGCTGCTGAAGCCAGCGGGGCACAGGCTGCCCGTGGCCGTGTGCCAGCCTCCCCAGCAAAGCTCAACCCATCCCCTGGGCACCACCCGGCCCGTGCCAACCCAGCGGCACGTCCCGGTCTGCTCTGGGAGAGCTGAATTCCCAAATTCCCAGCGGCACGTCCCGGTCTGCTCTGGGAGAGCTGAATTCCCAAATTCCCAGCAGCACGTCCCGGTCTGCTCTGGGAGAGCAGAATTCCTGAATTCCCCTCTCAGTCTGGTCTGGGAGAGCAGAATTCCCAAATTCCCAGCAGCACCTCCCGGCCTGGTCTGGGAGAGCAGAATTCCCAAATTCCCAAATTCCCTTCCCGGCCACGGGGGCTCCTCGCTAGCAGCGCAGCCCGTGCTGGCACAGAGGCGCCGGAACGCTGGAATGCTGATCCACTTCCAAGCCTGATTTTCTTCCAAATCCGCAGAGCTGGAGTGGGAAGGAGTCAGAGCAGCTCGCAGGGCCCCGGAGGGCAGGGAAGGAGCCCCCCGTTCTCCTCGGCGCTCTCAGGATGGAAGTCCCACCCAGGGATGAAGGGTTTTCCATGTCCTGATTCCCCCTCAGCCCCGTGCACCCTGACCAGGTGCTCCTCCAGAGCCACAGCCTCTCTGGCCAGGGCAGCCTGGGCATGCTGTGCCCTCCTGGCAGCTGTGCACAGCAGCAGGAGCAGGGACAGCCAGTGTGGGACAGCGTCCCAAACCCGTCACCGTGCTGCCCCACTCGGGATGGGCTCTTCCATCCTTCAAAGGAGAGGACACCAAAACTGGAACGGGCTGGGTGGGGTGGGAATACGGCTGCTTTGATTTTAGGAACCCAAAGCTTGCTGCCATCCCAGGGTGCTCCCAGCCCTGGCCCTCGGCACCCCAGAACTTGTCTGAGCGCCGGTGCTGCGGGAGAGTTTTGTGCTGTGGAGACATCACCTGGGAGCAGCCCAAGACACCCAAAAGCAGCCCCAGACACCCGAAAGCAGCCGTGCCCCTGGCCAGGAGCCAGGGGAGAGTGGAGCTGACGGGATGCCCCCACTCCCCAGCACAGCTGCAGGGGACAGCAGCAGCGCCCAGCAGGTGCAGCAGCTGCAGGGGGAGGAAATCTTGGCGCCCGCTTCAAAGGCCCGCGGGCTCCGTGGGGATTGCAGAGGAGCCTGCCGGGAGCCAGCGCCTGCGAGGGGGACTTTTGTTACCAAACCCTGCGGAGAGGCAGCGAAAACAGTTGCGTGAGTGTTTGATGGCTGGGGCTTCTGCGTCTGCCGCCTTCACAGCTCCGATCCTGCAACATTTGTGCTGGTTGGCAGGAGCCAGAGAGTGAAACAGGCACGTCTAGAGCCACCTCCTGCATTTGGCAGGGAACGCCGTGCCGATACAGGAGAAGAAAATGTGCTGGCGGGAGCGAATTCTGCCTTTATGCTCGTCACTCATTACTTACACAGCGGAGGAATTTGTTTATGCAATTATTTTTAGCCTGACAGCATCTCCGAGAGCTGCAGCATTCCGGCGCTGCGGGCACGAGGAAGGGGCTCTGCTCCTGCCCCGCACCAAACCCAGCAGTGCCCCCAGGCCCTGGTACAAACTCTGTGCTGAAAACACCTCCACCAGCCCTGCCAACCCCTGGCTTGGGCTTTGCCTCTCACCTACAGCGGGGGCATCCCTGGAGCTCCCAGACTCCAGGAGCACCCCGCAGCTGGCAGGATGTGTCCTGCTCCATCAGTGAGGGTTAAACTGGTGTGAAATCCAGCCCTTGGAGCTGCCCTGTGGTGGCACAGAGCTTCCCAACCTCAAGGCAGTTGTAGCAATGCCGAAGGCAAAGGTTTAATTCAAAGTGAAACGCCTAGGAAAAGAAGGCCTTTCCTTTATAAACAATTTATATTATTTGACTATTACCTGATCTGAATCTCTGCTCATTACTCCTAGCAATAATAGACAACGGCTGTTAGCTTCCCTTTCTCACGTGGTTTTTGCTCCGGTGTGCGCAGAGTGAAGTTACATCAGACCACTACAGATATGTTCAGGAGTGCTCCGGGCAAGCAGGCCCCACGTGGGAACAGATCCTCGTTAGTACCTCTGATTTCATTCCTCCTGGACTGATTTCATTCCTCCTGGCCGAGGGAGCAGGCGGGGCTGCTCCTCCCCAGCCTCAGCCCACTGGCTCCTCCGCAGCCGCTCGCAGCAGCTGCCTGCTTTTTTTTCCTTTTTTTTTTTTTTCTTTTTGGCTGATTTGCTCCATAGGAAAAGTTGTTTTCAAACCATTGGTAAGAAAACATTGTGCCTCACTTTGACACTTGTACTTCGGAGGAGTACAGCAGCAGAGGGGGAACAGCCAAAATCTGGGTGATTTGTTGGGTGGGTTTTTCCTTTTTCAGCCATCTGCTGATGAAGCCTCGTGCCAGCAAGAAACCCCAGAGCTGAGACCTGCAGGGAGGGGAAGGGGAGGAAAGAGAACAGCAGGTGCTCAGCCTCAGCCACACAGTGACAGCAGACAGGGCTGTCCCAGCCGTGGCACCCATGGCCACTGATGGGGCTTGTCCCCACCCAGACACACTCTGGACCCAGCCTAAAGCACGTGTCTGCTCCTCCTGCCAGGCTGGGCATTCACACCGAGGTGATCACCCATCCCCAGTGCCTCTCACCGTTTACTGCCCGTCCTTCGGAGTCTCCTCCTCCTCCCGGAGCTGCTGCCGCCGTGCTTGGAAATCTTCATCTGAAAGGCAGAGGCAGGTGGGGGCTGTGCCACCTCCACACCACGGCCCCAGCCCAGGGGGAGGCATCCCAGCCTTCCCCAGGGTAGGGTTTCCTTGCTCAGAGAGAGAATTCCCACTCGGGAAGTTTCTCCCAGAACACACCTGAGAACATCCACAGGGGTATTTCTGCCAGGCGTTCACACCTGAGCCAGCCCTGGGGTGATTGTGGGGCCAGGCACCACGGGACCCAGTCCTGCCAAGCCCAGCACACCCAGCACAGCCTGGCACAGCACTCCTTACCATATGCATGTCCTTCCACGTCATCGAGGAGATTTGCTGTGGAAGCTGCTGTCCCCATCCTGCTCCCTCCGCTAAGGAAAACCACTTGTGGGGCCAGGATGTGGCCACGGCACCACAGCCACCCTTCCCAGCCACAGAGGTGCCCTTGGGGAGCCCCCAGGAGCACCCAAGTGAGGCTCCCCTGTCCCACAGCCCCTTTCAGGATACACCTGGTGCTTCAACAAGTGTTTCCTTTTTGATTTCCTCATCTTCGTCTTCTCAGAGAAGGCTCTGGAGAGCTCGAACAGCTTCTTGCGCGTGGCTGGGAGGAAGCAGCTGGGTGAGGGTCTCAGCCAAAAACCCTTCCCAAAGCTGCCACAGGCAGGGGACAGGAGAGGGGCAGGGCCAGGGGTGTGAGAGCCACCCGCACCCTGTGGTGATTCCCAGACTTGGAGAGGGAGACAGGGACACCTCGGTCCCTAGTGGGGGGTGCTCGTTTTACCCTTTTTCTGGGATTTTCCTGACCTTCCTTACCCACCCCTCCCAGTGTCCCCAGTGCCTGCAGCCCAGCTGGGGCCACCCAAGGACCTCGGTCTAGTTGGTGGTGGGAGAAGCAGGCTGTGACCTCTGAGAGAGAGGATGAGTTTGGGAGAGTGCCAGGTACCGCTGCCATCTGCCCTGCCCGCCCCGTCCCTTTCCCCTGCACAGCACTCACATTTCCCCATGAGCCTGAGCTTGTCTCGGAATAAGGCATCGTCGGACACGGCCCCGCCGGCCTCGCTGGCTGCAGAGGGAGCTCCCTCACCTGTGGGGCAAGCACCAGCTCAGGGGCAGTGCCAGCCTGCCGAGGGGCTGGCACAAACCCTTCCACCCCCAGTTCCAGCGCAGCGACGGGCAGAGCTGGGCAGAGCAGGGGGCATGAGGGTGCTGGCACATGGGGCTGGCTCTGGATGGGGACAGAGCCCCTGGGCCAGGGAGTGCAGAGCCAGGGGCTGGCAGCACACCCTTACAGGTGCACCAGCACCTCCCTCCAGGCTCAGCAGCTCCAAACTCCCCCGGGCTCTGACTGTGCTCTCCGTATCGGATGATGCCACCCAGTGGATCAGGAGCAAGCCCAGCTGGTCAGGGAACCAGAGACCCCCAGAGCCATGTCCCTGTTCCCCAGGTCCATGAGCCCAGCTGGAGCCCTGCCAGGCTGCCCAGCCTCGCCCAACCCTGCGCGGGGCCATCGACAGACACCAGCTCTAATTCTGACTCTGGGCAGCTGCTGTGCTCCGAGGTTAATCAGGATTACCCAGGAACAGTCATTATGCCTCCAGGCACAATCCTCTGCTCCAGCCCAGGCAGGGAGGGCAGGGATGGATGGAGGCAGGATGCAGGAGCACTTCCACATGGGGAGGGCAGGAGCACCCATCCCCAAGACCCACCAGCTCCTCTTCCATGCTGGGAGGGCAGCAGGGAGGGGTCAGCCAGTTTCCTCCCTCCACAGCCACTCTGGAGGAGCTGGGCAAAGGGATGGGAATGGAGGGGCTCTGGGGGGGGTCCTGCTGTGGAGAAACAATGCTCACATACGTCTTGGAAGTTACCTGATAATATGGAGGAGAAACCAAAGTCATTGCTGACAGCAACACCAGTCGACTTGGATTTTTTTGACTCGTATTTCAATCGATCTGAAACACAAAAAGCACAGCTCCGCTCGATCAGACCCTCGAGGCAGAGCACATGGCTCTGCTCCCCTTTCCTCTCACAGCCCCGTGGCTGCAGAGGGACAGGCTGCTGGCAAGGGAGGGAGCTGGGGCTTTGCTTCTGCACAGCGACCACAAGCACTTCGGTGGGAGCCCGCAGCAGCAGAGGAACTGCCCACCCACCACAAGCACACGAGGAGAACACCCGTGGTTTTCCTGCCACCTGCAATGACAGTGCTGCCAGGACCCTGCAAAGCACCATGACAGGGCTGGGGAGGGCTCAGAGGCCATTTCCAAAGCTCCTTGCTATGGACTCTGCCAGAGATGCTGCAGAGGGGTGGGCAGGGGCAGGAGAGCAGGAGTCCAGGGAGCAGCCCTGCAGTGTGGGCAGCTCAGACCCCCAGCCCCCATCCCGGCCACATCCTGTACTGGCTCTGCTTTGGCACAAGCCCTGATCCCACGGGCTGCCAGCAGGCAGGGTCACAGCAGGGCACACACCCAAAAAGCAGAAGTTTCCAAAGGGCCCTTTCACCTCTCTCCAGGGCGAGAAGGAAATCCCGGTTCCTCTGGAGCTCCTTCATGAACTCTTCGTTCTGCAGGAAGAGCGCGATGCGCTCGTCCTCCAGGTACTGCTTCCAGCGCCGCTCCTGCTCCAGGGAGCCCTGGCCCCGCGGGACCACGGGCTGCCGGCAGCCGCGCGCGCCCTGCGGAGGCAAACGGGCACCTCGGCTGCTGCTCCCGGCTCCCTGCAGCGGCACCTCGGGCTCAGCTCGGCCTTCTGCCCCTCTGCCACAGCCCTGCTCCCCAGCCCCGATGGCGGAGCTGCTCCCAGAGCGGTGCCTCCCTCCTCCGCCCAACAGCCCAGGGCAAAAGGGACAAAGGGGGACAGCCCAGCCCCTGGGAAGGGGGACAAACACCCACAAGGGAACCTTTGGGACAGACACCCACATGGGAACCTTTGGGACAGACACCCACGGGAGAACCTTTTGGACAGACATCCACATGGGAACCTTTGGGACAGACACCCATGTGGGAACCTTTGGGACAGACACCCACGGGAGAACCTTTTGGACAGACATCCACATGGGAACCTTTGGGACAGACACTCACGTGGGAACCTTTGGGACAAACACCCACGTGGTAACCTTTTGGACAGACATCCACATGGGAACCTTTGGGACAAACACCCACGTGGTAACCTTTTGGACAGACATCCCACATGGGAACCTTTGGGACACACATCCCACATGGGAACCTTTTGGACAGATATCCAACATGGGAACCCCAGCAGAGCACAGGCTGGCAGGGATGTTTAACTCCAAACCATGGGGTTGTGCCATAGCAGAGGTGTAAGAGGTGTGCAGGTACGAGAAGGGTCTCAGCATGTCTCCCATCTCCAAAGAGCAGAGTCTGCAGTGTCCTGCTGACAAACGTCCCTGCACGAGGCACTGTCACACCTCACACCTGGGGAGCAGCACAGCCGCATGCTGCGGCACAGCCTCATCCCTGCCTACAATATTTATCTGATTTGTAGCTGCTCCCAGAGAGCCATAAAAAGCAAAAGCACACAATTGCTGGGGAAAGAAAAGGGCAGCTGCTCCTCTCCTCCCCCTGAGCCCAAATGAATTGGCAGGCTCCTATTCCCAGAAAGGTAATAGAGCCCGTGAAGCTCAGCTGGAAGGGCAATCATTCATGCAAACGTGGCAGGCTGCCTTTGGAGACGAAACAGCAGCGAGGAGCAGGGTGCCTGCAGCCCCCCCAGCCCTCTCCATGCCAGGAGGGTGCTGGACCCATTTAGGGGTTCCTGTGATAGCAAAGGGCCAGAAGATGCCCCAAATTGTGTCTGGAGCTGAGCAGCATGCTCAGCATGTGTTGGGGCTGCTTGTTCTCCATGGGATGCTACCCACTGCCTGCCCTGCTGCTGGCACCCAAACTTTGTGGCTTAAAACAACCACGGAGCACACGTGGGCTCTGATTTCCCAGGGGCAAATCCTCTTGCTTGCACTAGGTGTCCTACCCAAATTCCACTGCAGCTGTCCTTAAGTGCTCTGGCAATGCTGCTCTCCTTAGGAGCATTATTGGTCCTGTGCTTCTCACCAGAGCAGTGGGAAACATTTTCAAATAATTGAAAATATTAGGTGCATATGGCAAGTGGCATTTCTGGCACTAATCACTGGGATAATGCAGGAAAAATATCAAAGCTTTGCTGAGAGCTCTTTCACACCTTGCCCACTTCAGTCTCTTGAACAGGAGACACTTCAAAACTTTTGGGTTAGTCCACACCTGGAACCCAGCGTGCTGATGCTGCAAGCTGAGGGTGCCTGAGGACTGGGATGGTGCCCATGCCACAGCACAGAGCAGGCTGGAAGGGGTGGCCAAGCCTCACCTGCGTGCGGGCCGGCTGCTGGGGCAGGATGCGCAGGAAGTCCTCGGGGAGGCTGCCCAGGAGCGGCGGGTTCCAGTTCCTGTAGTGCGCCGCGCTGCCGGGGCCGGGCACGTCCGTCCTGCGGGGCGAGCACAGGAGCACCTTTGGTGAGGAGAAAGCCCCCAGCGCTGCCACGGCAGCGTGGCACAAGGCCTGGCACAGCACAGCCTGCCCAGCTCCGCCAGCAGTGCTGGAAACCACAAAACCCCAGCACATCCCCGAGCCTGCAGCGTTAGCATCGGCTCTGAAGAGTGAAAGCTTTCCTAGAATGTTTGGAATATTTGGGAGCTGCATTTCAAGCCTTGCCCTGCAACTCTGCAGGCTGGGCTTTCCTTCTCCTCTGTGTTTCAGACTCCCAAAAAGCAGCTTGGTGGAGCCCCAGCACTGCGGGGATTTGCCCACAAAGCTGACAAACGTCTCTCACCCAGTGTCACACGCAGCTGCACAGAGGGCAGGGGCTGGCACAGAGGTGCCCAGGGCTCAGACTTGCTGACCCACAGCCCCACAGCTCCAGCCAGAGCGGTGCTGCCAGGGGCCAAGGGAGAGCCAGCCGAGGTGTGTGGTGCGTGGGACCGGCTGCCCAGCACCTGGTGTTTTCCAGCAGCAGCAGCGAGCGCTGCCCGCCCCCGGAGCTGATTTTTGCCATTCCACAGCCGCCGGAGCGGCTTTCCGGCCCCTCAGCTGTTGGTGTTTTAGAGCCTCACAGGGATTTTTGAGCCAGCTGTGAGCTTCATTCATCTCCCTTGGCTTTGTCTCACTGGACCCTGTACGGAGCAGGGCCAGAGGGCCGTGCCAGGGCCGGCTGATGGCAGCCTGGGCCCTGTGCTGGCACAGGGTGCCCCAGGAGCGGAGTGCGGGGCTGGGGCTCACCTGGGCGGGGGGGTGGGTGGGGCGCGGGGGTAGCGGCTGCCCAAAACCTGGCTCTCGTAGGCAGGAGGGGAGTACACGGGAGGGGGCTCCTCGTCCGAGCTGTCCGGCTCCAGGGTCCGCTCCAAGATCTGCAGGGTGAGAGGATGGGGTGAGGGCAGGACAGGAAATGCTGTCCCCAGTGGGCCAGAGCTCCACGGGCAGCAGCAAAACAGGGATGGCACAGGCTGAATGCTGCTGCAGATGATGGGGCAACCTGCTGGCACTGGGGGGTTTTGGTGGAGTTTGGAGGTATTGTTTTCAAGGGGAGATGGTGGCTGAGCCTATCCATGCTGCACACAGCCTTGGGGAGTCTCTCTGCCAGCAGCAGAAGGGTCTCTGTTGGGTTTTGGGGCAAGGGAGAGCAGGGAGAGCACTTGGATTGATCCTGAAGATCAATCAAGACAACCTTTGGTGCAGCAGCCCAGCCAATCCGGGTACTCAAACCTCTGCCTGCCTGCAGCAGTTGAATAGCACCGTGGCCAGGCAGGAGGAGGCAGGATGGGGCTGCTGTGCCCGCTCACGGTGACCCACACAGGGGAGCCCCAGGCAGGTTACCTCGGGCGGGATGCTGTCCTCCGAGTCCGAGCTGTCGTCACAGCCGCTGCCGTCCAGGTTCATCTGCAGAAGCTGGTCGATGGTGGCGTCCACGGCGCCGTTGTTGGCTCTCAAGACGCACTCGATGATGTCGTAGTCCATGTTGGGGAACATGGTCTTGAAGTCCTCCATGGCCTGGTTGAACTCCAGGCGCCGCACCTGCCTGGCGGGGCGGCTGTTGTTGAGCTCCTGGGCGGAGGAGCCGCCGCGGGAGCCGCCGCCGCTGCTGCTCCGGCGGAAGAGGCTCGTCATGGCGGGGCGGCTGCGGGGGCTCGGTGCCCGCGGTCCGGCTGTGCCCGTGCCCCTCCTCACCGGGGGCTGCCCCGGCTGCCAGCCGGGACCATGGGTGGGCGGCGGGGGTCCCGCTCCCCGCGGCCAGCGGCTCCGCGCGTCAGCCCCCGGCGCACGGCTGCATCCTCCCACCTGCGGAGGGGACACAGGACAGTCACCCAGGGACAGTCAGCCAGGGACGGCACCCAGAGACAGCACCCAGGGACAGCACCCAGGGACGGCACCCAGGGACAGCACCCAGGGAC